AAGCATATTCTACTTTTTTCTCTTAACAGGCAAGAGTTTTTTAAATGTCAGAATTCAGATTATATTATTGGTCACTTTTAATGTACACGTAAAAATTTATGTTCTGTTTGTGGGAAGTTAGATCTTTCTTTAGCCAAAAGGCATCTCAAGAGTATATCATTTAGCCCACAGAGGTTTGGATTTCTCTGCCAACTTTAACAATGGGATGCTACTTATCAAACAGCTCTGGATTCTCAAAGGAACTAAAGAGCGCTTCTACCACTTCCCCTAACAAACCAGTTCTCAGAGTAGTCAAATTCATAGTTTGATAAAAATTTTATTCCAAATAAAAAATTAGTTTTTTAAGTTTTATCTGTAATGCCAACACAGGGTGAGACTGTAGTAGGAGTTGAAATGCAGGGTAGTTAAAAAATAAGTCAGCTCATCCAGAAATTTTTTTTTTTTTATCCTCACCCGAGGACATTTTTCCATTTTTTGTACAGACAGAGTGGGAGAGAGAGAGAGGGAGAGAGAGAGGGAAACATCAATGTGAAAGGGACACATCAAGTGGCTGCCACCCGCACGACCAACCAGAGCCGGGGACAAACTGCAACCAAGGTACATGCCCTTAGCGGGAACCGAACCCGGGTCTCTCCGGACCGCAGGTGGACACTCTAACTGCTGAGCCAAACCGGCCAGGGCTCATCTAGAAATTTTAATACTAAAGCTCATAAACTGAACTGATAACTCAAAGTTTATTATGGTTGTTAGAGCAGGTCTTTATTATTTCCCCCCTTCTCCCATTCATCCTTTCTTTCTTAGGGAAAGGGGCTAACATGAAAGTGGAATAAAAATAATGGCTAACAAAACCACAGCATGAGGAAAAGAAGAATTGATGTGGGAACTGCCAATAAAAACATTCCTTCTCTTTAGGGCTAGCTAACCAACTCGCATGTTTCTATTGAATAATCACTGGCAGGCAACCAAGTGAACAGTTTCACATCTCCCCAAACTTAAGGCCACCATTTTTCTGTAACAGATACTCAAAAATTATAATCATAAATGCTAGGGATGGAAAAAAACTATTAAGACATTCCTTTTGGTTTGACTAGGTCAGTATTATTCTGAAAAACTAGATTATTCTAGTGCTTTACTGAAGAATTTTCTATACAAATGGGCCAACAGCCTTTTCCTCATGAAAGACATCTTATTCCAGATTCAGAGTCACATGTATGCATGTTTTGGTCTCCTTTGCACATTGCATTGCCCTCATATTTCTTCTTCTATATTTCAAGTTCTCTGGTTATAAATGAACATGTCCTTTCACTTGTTCAATTATCAATAATTAACAATGTAAATATTTAAAATATGGTGGTTTCTGCCATGATTACAGAGTGAGAAATATGGTTGTCATTGCCTCGCCAAAAGTAAGATACTACCTTTCTCCTTTTAAATTTTGCTTAAATACTTTTCTGTTTTCCTACAAATCATCACCAGAAAATACTTATACAAGCTAATAATGCCCATTATTAAGTGTTCCCTGTGCCAGGCACTGTGCTCAGTTCTATATATTAATGCTTTCTTATGTTATTGTCATGAAAACTGTATGAAGCAGAAACAATTATTATTACCATTTTAAAAATGAGCAGACTGAGGTAGAGAGAGGTTAAACAACTCGATGAAGCCATAGAGCTCAAGGTAGCGGAGTCAGAATTCACTCAGGTTCTTTGATTCTGGGAAGTATGCTCTTAGTAGTTGCCATAAGTAATTAGAGGTAGATATCATGCAGAACTACTTGAAGGGAGCAAACTGTTTGTAAATTGACATTAGAATGAAGTAAATTCTGAGCAAAGTTGTAGAAATTGAGACACCCACAACCTTGGACAGATGATTAGCACAACTTGTTCAATATAGAGAGAGAGGAGCCCCGAATATAGCAGGAAAATGCCTATTTCATTGGTCAGCTTCATAGTGAAAAGGAATAGAAAGTTCACTACCAGAACCCACAATATGCCATTCATAGTGTTTTGTGTATTATTATGCTTAGGTTAACTGTATAGTTTTCAACTGAGGTTTCATTAATCATTACTTTACACTTACTTATATGCCAAACTTGAAAAAACTACATTTAAAAAATAGGGTTTTAATTCACTGTTCTAGATGAAAAGAACAGACTAACAATTGCTCCCCATACGGGGTAAAACTAAGTGGCTTGCTTTACAGGGCAGTACAAACACAGATTATCTGCTGAGAACCACCACTCTCTAGAGGATTAGGCCTAAAGCGCTGAAGTAATTTATTAAAAGGAAGGTATTAAACAACCATGATAAGTCTAAAAACGAAAGACAGAAATGGGGGAAATTTAAGTGCAAATTAAAGCATGAACTACTTTAAAACTTTAAGTTAGGTCCTGGACAGTTTAGTTCAGCAGTTAGAGTGCCAGCCTGTGGACCAATGAGTCCTGGGTTTGATTCTGACCAAGAGCATGTACCTCGGTTGCAGTTCATCCCTGGCCCTGGTGGGATCATGCGGGAGGCAACCAGTCAATGTATCCCTCTCTCACATTGATGTTCCCCTCTCCCTCTCTCTCTCTTCCTTCTTCCCACTCTATCTGATGATAAATAGAAAGATATCCTCAGGTGAGGATAAAAGACAAACAAAACAAAACAAAGCAAACTTTAAGATGGTAAACCTGAACAACACAAAACTTGTGGAAAATCTAAGAACATCATGATGCCACAGTAATAAATCCTGAGCAACTGAAGAAAGTGACATAAGAGATATGTCATCTGTTGGAGACAGGTTTTTACATTTCTAGAACTCTTATTAATGCTTATTAAATTTCTATACCACCTATACAAACTTCTCTATATACTTTAACCCTAACCCTAACCCCAAACCCATGCCTTATTGTATATAAGTGCTTGATCCTACCAAAAAATGTTTTACTAATCATAGTATTTTTCAGAAATGTAATCTCGAACCTAAGTTGGCAAGGGAAGTTCATAATAGAGTTTAGCGCTGTGGTACAAAAAAAAAAAAAATTACACACAATTCCTTTTGCATGGTTTAAAGTCAGGCATTCTTTAAAAAATTATTTTATATCTTTTAAAAGTCCTAATAATAAAAGAAAATTCTTATACAAATACACCACTATCTTGCTATAAATAATCATTTGAACTGAGTGGGAAAGATTTGACAAGTAAAATCAAGATATTAATACACAGAGAAAATAAAACAAACAAAATATACACATATACACTGTTGCTTTAGCAGAACCAGCTTCTGTTTACAAAAATTACATATGATACCATGTTTTCCCCTGAAGTATATCTATCTTTCTTTCATTTTCTTAATTATTTTAAGCCCTGATTTAATTTTCTTTTCAACTGTATCTTCTATCATGTTCTAAGAATGGTTCCGACCTCTTCAAATCAATGATTTTACTGTTTCTCACCTAAGAGTTATCTCTCCTACTCCACCTCCAAAATATCAAGCTTTGAGTTATACTACGAATGACAAAAAACTTGTCTTATACTTCTTTCACTAATTTGTTCCTAAGAGCACATTTGTAGATATTTCTCTAATGATGATACTCTGAACCCTAACCTCTCCCTATTCCCCTAGCATATCAATCTATTTCTGCTTCAAATATTCATTACTTCCAAGACCATATCATCTGTAATGCTTTGCTATAAGGTTAGAATCTCTTAACCTTGCACTGTGACCTACTGATCTGTAAGCACAGGTGACACCACAACATGTGCATCCTCAATTCCTGGGTTGCTGTCGTGATATCACAGTAATCATGTATCATGAAAATTCATACTAAGGTATGCTGGCATTCAACATTCATTGATACTTCAAAGTGGTAAAAAAAAAAAAAGAAGATATAATGATAGCTTAAAGCACTAGCTGGGCTGAGAAAAGTTTGTTTACATTAGGTCAGAGATTGTATATTTATGCAGAGAAGAAGGAACTAATAGAAAGTGAGCAAGGACTATGTCAGAAAAAAAACTAATGGAGAAAGACTGCAGAGGAGGGACCAGTGCTTAAAATCTGTGACAAAGGTGAAAAGCTAGCCCTATGAAGAAGAATATCTCCTCTGAGACAGAAGAGAAGGGAAAAAAACATACAGATAACTGCTGAGGTAAAGGTAACTGAGGGGGGAGGAAGGGGGAAAAGGAGAAACATCTGTAACAAAAATAAATTAATTAATTAAAATAATAATAATAATAATAATAATAATAATAAAAAGGTAACAAGGATCCCAGTTAAAATGAGAGCAGGATAATTAGGTGGGGTTGAGGGTTGGGAATAATAAAGGAGACAATATTACTGGACTTTCAAAAGAGATACTCTGAAAAGGAGGATCCAGAATCTTTTAGTCACAGAGAAAAAAAAGAAGCATCTATTATGTACTGTGTGTGTGTGTGTGTGTGTGTGTGTGTGTGTGTATAACAAAAGATTATTATCTCAGAAAACCAGAAGATGTGGGTGGGGTAAGTAGGAAAATAATGTATAGCAAAATTTTGCTAAAAGTGACCATTTTGTCAAAATTGACTGGTGAGTATGATAAAATGTTAATTGTTAAATATGGGAGATAGGTGTATGGAAGTTCATTATACTATCCTCTCCACTTCTGTGTACCTTTGGAAATGTTTATAATAAAGAAATATTTTTAAAAATTGCCTAGCTGTCATACGATGTCAGGACCAATAGTCATCTCAAGAGGTTTAACAATTTGACAAAACTTTCCAGAAGATTTCAGGAATTTCAGATACGGAATTGGATACAGATACATACACTACGAGACTTTAAAATTCAAAGAAGAGGAGTAGAATATAATTCTATTGGACCAGGATTTGTTCCAAATTTGTTCTAGGGAGTGAAAAATACCAGTTAGCATTAAAAGTGGGCTAAGAGTGCCAGGGCTAATAAACTGGGCCAGAATAAGAAATCAATGAGGAAAAGTTCTTCTGCGTAGTGCATGTATGAAGAATTAGATTTAAAACACTTACTTCATCTCCAGAACTTCCTCTAAGTGTTTCCTTCTCTCTGCTCGAAGATTGGTCAAATGAGTTTCCTTTTCTGCCAGAGACTGTTGAGTAGAGGACAGCTTTGCTTTCATGGACTCCAGTTCCTGCTTTACTTTCTCCATGGCCATCAGTAACTCCTCCACCTGTGACAGATATGGAAAAGAGAAAACTGAATCTCTTGATCAGTCCCAGTCAGAGGACTGGGCAATGGGCAACTCCTGGGTCCACAAAATTGAATGCACGCACACATCGACTGCTGCACTCTTTCTGGATCAGGCATATATATCAAGAAGACATAGAAAATAATAAAGTAAATCTCTGATCATCCCTCCACTATAATTCTTTTCAGTTTCAGTCAGAAAGAACTTCATTTTGTTTTTGATAAATGCAAGGATATACACGTTCAGGAAGGGACTCTCTGTCATGGACAATCCCTTTTAAAGAATTTATTTAGAAATGGCCCAGGAATTTCCATGGAAATAACAATACAACACAGATAAAAATATAAAGAACAAAATCACAATAAATATTTACAGAAGAATTTTAGGAAATAAGAGACATAAACTTGATAGCAACAGATTTAGTATAAATGTAAATGGTATTTCCTGTTTACACCATGAAAAAGAAATTATTTTTAAAGAAACAGAATGGAATCAGGTAATTTCTTGCTCTAAAGGCAGAAGTAGAGTTCTTTTCAAGGAAGGCAGGAATAAAATATATATAAAATCAGATAAAGAGAAGACAGAATGCTTAAAAAAGACCTGAAAAAAACACTCAGAAGATGACGACAGAATACTAAATCATGAAAAACTGAGAGTTAAATATGCACTTTACACTTATTTCCACTTACTCTGGGTGGTTCCCGAATCAGATTTAAATAAACATGTTCATATTAATTCGGAAGCAGAAAATATTTTGATAAATTACGTTATTACCCAAAACTAACTTCAACCAGTAATCAACCAGTCAACTGCACCAATCACGTGAGTTTTTCAGGTGGCTGCTTGCCACGAAATAATTTTGGTGACCATAAATTTTTTCAGAGGTAGAGGTGAGTGAAGGCAGAGATAGGGGACCTGCCATTCATTGACTCCCAATTTGTGTAACAGTAAAACTGAGAGGCCTCTGGAGGCAAAACTGCAGTATAACAAATCAGAGTTGTTAACAGACCCCTTTAGTGCCTCATACCTAACCAAAGTCTCCATGTTGACTGGTAACAGCTGCTAAACACTGATAATAAACAGATAATTTGGGCTTTTGCTTCTTTGTGTATCCTTTCAGAAGTCATTAACTGAATGTTCTCAGCTAATAGCATCTTCAGTCCCAGTTGCTGTGAGAATATACATATTCATATCCCAGATATGTATTCCTATATCTGCTACCTTTGCATAAACATGTATCACTGTCCACCCTTTTGAAAACTGCCAAATAAAGATGATTTCATTTTAACAGTTTAATGCATATAAAATCTTATCTAAAACTGAATTGAACTGATATATCAAGGTATGTTCTTATGACACAAAATCAGTAATGGACTGCACCTTTTATACAAGCTCTAATAAAGTGTGGAATGTGTCCATCTTTTATGAACTTATCTTAAACTATCTCAAAAAAATCTCCCTTCCATAACGTCTTTCACTACCCTAGGCAAGAAATAGGTATCAATTTCTTATATAACTTGGAGACACATTCTGCACATACACAAGCAATCATGTATAAATAACCTATTTTCCCCTTTCTATACAAAAGAAGGCCCACTCTACACATACTCAATATCTAAACTTTTTATTGGAATACAACATAAACACAGAAAAATACACAAATAATAAGTGTAAAACTTGAAGAGTTTTCTCAAAACGAATAAGCCTATGTAATCAGCACAGATCAATAAACGGAACATTACCCAGTACCCCAGAAAACCCCTCATATTCCCTTTCCAGATAAAGAGTAATTATAATTATTATTCTAATACTCTACATTAGTTTTGCCTATTTGTTGTTGTTTTTTTATCCATACCCGAGGACATTTTTCCATTTTTTGTTCAGATAGAGTGGGATGGAGAGAGAGGAAGAGAGAGAGAGGAACATCGACATGAAAGGGACACATCAAGTGGCTGCCTCCCGCACGACCCAACTGGGGCCAGGGACAAACTGCAACTGAGATACATGCCCTTAGCGGGAACCGAACCCAGGTCTCTCTGGACCACAGGCTGATGCTCCAACTGCTGAGCCAAACCGGCCAGGGTTTGCCTATTTGTTTTAATTTTATACAAATGAAATTACATAGTATATAATTCTTTTCACTCAGTGTTATGTCCATGAGATTCATACATGTTGTTGGGTATAATTATAGTTTTATAATTTTCATAACTGCATGATATTCCACTGTGCAAGGATAGCAAAACTTACTGAAGACACTTTTCATTAAAAAAAGTTTTTTATTTTAATGGAGTTTAATTTTTTCCTTTACATTCAGTTTTTTTTCTTCTTCTTCTTTTAAATCCTCACCAGAGGATATGTTTCTACTGATTTGGGGGGCGGAGGAGATGGAGAAAGAGAGAGGGAAAGGTCAATGTGAGACAGAAACATCAATCAGCTGCTTCCTATATGTGCCCCGACCAGGGATTGAACCCGCCACCGTTTAGTATACGGGCTATACTAACCAACTATGTCATACTGGCCGGGGATACATTCAGAGCTGTTAGTACACTAAAATAAAATATTGTCTACCTCAAGGACATGAGAACATTCTATTCTTACTTCTAAATCCTTTACTGGATTACATGTTTCACATTTAGATGAACAATATATATACAACTAATTTTTTAATATGGTATAATGATCAAACTTCATTTTTATCACTATAGATATCCAAGTGACTCAGCACTATAAAGAGAAGAACTTCAATAGTCATGGCAGGAAGGTACTTTAAGCCTATTTGGCAAAATATCAGAAATTATTAAAAGCATACTTACAAACTATAAAAAACATAATTTAACAATGCTTTATATTGCACATAACCAACATTAAATTTCATAAATGAGCAATGTGATATTTATATGCACATAAAAAGGAATATGCATATATTTATTTATACATCTATTTATTTATTACCCATGAACTTTGTTTAAGTCAGGTATCCAAATGTAATCCCTAAGCTCCTGTAACAGGCAACTACCATTCATAATTTTTATTACTTATTCCCTTGCATTTCTGTATTTTAACCTATGATGCATATATTCTAAAATAAATCACTACTTAGTTTTATCACTTTATGAACACTGTATAAATGGAATCTTCTTTCTTATTTCATCCAACACTATGTTTTTATCGTGTGTGTGTGTGTGTGTGTGTGTGTGTGTGTGTGTATATATATATATATATATATGAAGGCCCACTGTATGTGTATATTCCAGAAGCAAGAGTAAAACACCTATCTATTCATATATTCCAGAACCAAGAACAAAACCACTCAGGAGTTAAAAGCAATGACCACCAATAGCATTCAGTACCACAGCATCCAGATTATGGTTTCCCACTAAACTGAATGAGCGCCGATTCCAGATTTGGGGCAAGAAATGTACAGAGAAGAACTTTGCACATCTTATGCCAGAAAGCAGAAATAGGAATCATGACAAACAGGGATCATGACACAGAAACACTAATACAAAAACAAAACAAGAAAACACATCATAAGAAAGAAAGAAGAGCCCTGGCCGGTTTGGCTCAGCGTTAGAGCGTCGGCCCATGGACCAGAGAGATTTGGGTTCGGTGTCCGCTAAGGGCATGTACCTCGGTTGCAGTTTGTCCCCAGCCCCGGTTGCGGTCTTTCTCTTCCTTTCTCTCTCTCTCCCACTCTATCTAAAGATAAATGAGAAAAAAAAAAAAAAATAGTCCTCTGGTGAGGATAAAAAAGAAAACTATAGAGAAATATTCCTCAGAAATACAGATGTAAAAAAACAAAAAAAACTGGAAAATCAAGCCCAGGAATCTATCCCAAGAACGCAAAGCTGGTTTAACATATAAAGTTCAACGTAATAAACTATATTAATAGAATACAGGGCAAAAACCACATGATCATGTCAATAAATAAAGAAAAACATTTGACAATTTCTAACAACTTTTCATAATAAAAACACTAAACTAACTAGAGACAGAAGAAAACTTCCTCAACCTAACAGAGGGAATCTATGAAAAATCCACATCTAACATAATCTTTTTTTTATCCTCACTGAAGGATTTTTGTGTGTGTGTGTGTGTGTTTATCTTCAGATAGAGCAGGAGGGAGAGAGGGAGGAAGAGAGAGGAAGAAACATTGATGTGAGAGAGACACATCAATTGGTTGCCACCCACACAACCCCAACCAGGGCTGGGGACAAACTGCAATCAAGGTATGTGCCCTTAGAGGGAACTGAACCCGGGACTCCCAGGTCCACAGGCCGACACTCTAACCACTGAACCAAACTAGCCAGGGCATAATCTTTAATAAAATGCTTTCTCTCTAAGAGCAGGGCCAGAATGTCTGCTCTCATTACTTTCATTCATTACTGTACTAGAGATGACAGTAAAAAAAAAAAAAAAAAAAAAAAAAAATTAGGCCACACCAAAAATGAAAAGGCAACCACATTAAAAAGGAAGATGAAACTTTCTCAAGTGGAAGATGACATAATCTTATGTAGAAAAAGACCCTAAGAAATCCACTAAAAAATGTAATAAACAAGTATACAAAAGTTGTAGCCCGTAAGACCATCATACAAAAACCAATTGTATATCCACACATAAGCAATGAACACTCCAAAGAGAAAATTTAAAAAAAAAATTCCATTTAAAATAGCATCAAAATACTGCTATGAGAAATGTCCAAGATTTTACTGCCTATGTTTTCTTCTAGAATTTTTATGGTTTCAGGTCTAACATTTAAATCTTTAGTCCATTCTGAATTTATTCTTGTGCATGGTGTAAGAAGGTGGTCTAGTTTCATTTTTTTGCATGTATCAGTCCAATATTCCCAATATTCATTTATTGTATAGACTATCTTTACCCCTTCATATATTTTTGCCTCCTTTGTCTAATCTTAATTGACTATATAGGCACAGGTTTATTTCTGGGCTCTGTATTTTGTTCCATTGATCTAATGCGATTTC